ATTAGATAAAAGTACTTTGGTATGACCTAAAAGATATTTAGCATTTGAAAAAACAAAAACAAAAAAAAACATGAACGTTTCATTTGAAATCAAAGAATGTCCATCAATCATCATCATCATGAATTTTTTTCATGTGAACGCGATCATTCACAATGAATTAGGGAAATTATGAATTTAATACGTTTCCGGTTTGAATAGAACCAGTTCACAATTATAGTTGGCGTATAAATAATGTTTATGTAAATACATACAAACTCGTGTATATTTAAACATATATGTCAGCCAAAAAAAGTGTCACTATATATTTCTATGTACTGTCCAATTTTACAATGAATGTATGATGTGGATAAGATGAAAGTTTGTATAGGTTGTTTTTTTCACAACTATAATGTATTTAATGACGTGCATTCAACAATAAACTTCAACATTGAGAAAGAAGGCAATGGTAGTGTAACAACAGAAGACAAGGGCCAGGCGATAGATCGTTTATTAAGGAAAATCAACACATATTTATAGATTTTAATGCACATTATTGTAGATTATTGTTAGTAGAAAATACAGTCTGTTGATTGCTTGTTTCTCACACAAAGTTAACCTTGCATCTCTTTGTGGCTGTGTCAGATCATCCATATGCTAACTGTATCCGCCTACGTAAAGCCTTTGTTCTCATTTTCTCGCCACCAATATTGGGGACATAAACATTGACGTCAATTACTGTCTACCAACTTTGGCTATCAGCCAGCTCTCACCACAATAGGAATTCATTCTTAAACGTCCTGATGACTAGGAGGTAATATGGAATGACAAGTAGGTGTATATATACAGAGAACCTTCGTTGAAAAGTCAGTGTACTCATTCTTTTTTAGGATTTAGTCATGAACTGACATTAGTTAGAAGACCATTGGAAAACCACTAGGGAGTACTCAACAGCCAATTGTTTCGTCCTAGCTTGGGACCCTTTGTCAGTACCCTCCCACTGATGTTCGAACCCAAGACCTTCTGGTTACAAAGGCCAGCTGGTAGACCATTAAGCCACTGGGACCCGGTCCAATGGCCAGGCCATGAATTCCAACTTCTGACAATTCACGATATGACAGGACCACTAGTGCCTTTTGTACCCTTGAAATATAGACGCAATTCAGTAAAGTGTTTAGTTCATAGAGCTACTTGACAATCTGACCCAATCACTGTCTTATCCGAAAATTACTCAACAAAAAAATCAATATCCAAAGAAGTCATTTCATGGAAATTTGGATTTACTGCTGAGGAATTTAGTATGTCAGCAGTTCCAAAGAAGTCGTTGTTTTTAAGAATTCAGTTTCGTAATGATATCTCATTAGTGAAATAATATCGTACACTTCAGTTGATAAGAACACATACTGAAATAATGCAGAAGACATGATATATATTCTTTCGTATCAATACATGTCGATAATTATGGACACCAATTTGATTGGGATAATAACGAAATTTTTAATAGAGGAAACACCAAAAATACAGTCAGGGAATTCCTAGAGGCCTGGTACTCAAGTGAACCAGCCAGAGATTAACAAGCATATTAATATAGACCAAATTTACCAGCTAATTAAAAGTAAATCACGTGACAAGAAAGTTCAAATTCCAAGTCAATAAAAAAGAACAGTAGAGATGTAAATTAACATTCACTCACAACAATGGTTGCCAGAAGATGCAATTACATCATTCATGGCGAATTCAAATAAGTCCATTTTATACTAAAACCTACTCTAAAGATGTTGTCTAGAAGGTGGATAACGAAAGCTTCGCAATTAGATCAACCATCTTAGAAAACACAATTAATTCAAGAACACATATTCCTGTTTTTCTCTTCAACAAAACGAAAACAAGTCTTCCCCTAGCTTCTGAGTGGAACACATTGCTTTAAAATAGGACATCTTCATTTCACTCTGTTCTCTTCAGTTCTCTTCAGCTAGATCCACGATTGTCCATGGGGTCTCGTCTCCTCATCACACGGTCTCTTCCATGTCAGGTTCCACTTGTGGGTTTGACTGGTGCGTGATATTACTCAATCGTCTCTTCACAGTGTGTCTGATTCGTTTCCATCTCCTTAGAGGTGCAGCTAGTTATAATTAAGCGTCGGTGGTATAGCGGTTAGGACGTTCGCCGACCATGCACATGGTTCGAGGTTCGATCCCCGGTCAACGTACTCCTTTACCTCGCTAAGCCAGAAATAATGCTGGTAAAGAGGAAAGGTTGGGCATGAGGCTAGCAACCCCATCTTGTAAAATAAACACTGCTACAGAAACTTCAAGCCACTAGCTTGAAGCTCTATGTTCCACTGTGAACGTGAAGGAGAAAAAAGTTCATCTTCACAGTTCCGAAAATCATCCTTCATATTTAAGGAAGCAACAAACAAAGTTTATTTCTAAGTCTATTTTAGTACATGTTTTAAATACTGAACGTAAAGCTGATGTGAACAAAGAGCTTCTCTGTTTTCAAACGTAAAATGCTTCATCAGTGGTTCACTCTGACTGCTTATGTAAATGTAGTGAGGTAGGCACACTGAATGTATTGGTCGGTACACTTTTATGTCCTGCCTTCCAATGTTGGTTGAATTAAGAAAACAGAAAGCTCATTTAGCATTTACCGACTGGCTTCACCTTTGTCACCGGTTAGATATCTGACCTGCTTACTGCACAAAAATGAAGAATAGTTGAGAAGGTAGAATACAAGTAAAAGTTACACATTTTGATTATATATGCTTCACAGAAATTACAGTTAAGATTATATTTAAATTATGTAGCAAGGAATGTCGATAAGGTCTAAATTCTTCGCTCATTCACGTTGCTTGATATATATACATATTATGCATAGAGAGTCACTACCTTTCTGTACTAAAAGTGTTTAAAACATTGGTCACGTTGGCAACGATAAAAAATGTTCTTGAAGTAATTTAGTGGATGGTGACTGGCATTGGAATCCAGAATGTGCATTTTGTCCTATTTGTGACTCGTCTGCTCAATATGTACTTGTAACCCGTGGTAAGTGATGGGACTGAAACTAGAACCCATTACCCACCGCTTCAAAAATCAGGGTGTTATATACTTGAACTATGAGAGCCATTCTGGTCCTAGTCTCAGTGCGGACACCATCACCCAGTTAACGAGTCTCACATAAGACAAAATGCGTATCCTAGATTCCAATGCTAGTCACCATCCACCAGACTACTACAAGTTAATCCTCAGACATAGTCGAAGCGTCTGTACTAGGCTCCGATATGTCAATACAGGTCGAGCAATTCAATTCAGTCAATCAACGGGGAAATCATAATTGACTTACAATAAACAAAATAAATAAGAGGTGTTCTCCCTAAAACATTCTGTCAATCTGTAAAATCGTCAACTGATGTTTTGAACCACTCAAGCAGATGTAGGTTGTCCGACAAAGGCCGTCAGAATCCTAAGTGTCAGTGTTTGGCGACTAAATGTACCCACTAAGCTATTTATTCTCCCCTCCCCCATATATTTGTTAATCGAAGTAACAATACATTTGTTTTCCTTTTATGTGTGCCTTTTGGAAGTATCAGTTTGATGTGATGAACATGTATGCAAAGTTCTACATTTATTCATCATGTGGTTTCGTTTATATGTGTGCCTCATCATGAAGGAAACAAACTTGATAAAATGCTAGTCACAATGTGGCGAATGCTACTGATAAGATTTATCAGTAATATATAAAGGGACATTCATAGGCATAGAAAAGTCAAGTGGCAGGGAGATACATTTGATGCCACAGAAGGCTAATGATACAGAGTTTTGGAGATGCATGGGAGGCGTGAAAAGAACACAAAAAACACAATATGAAGTCGAGATGTACCACAGCACGAAGATCTGTGCAAATTGTACGTTGAAGATAATGTATACATAATTTGGATATATAAAGATACCGAATTGCTAACAAACATTCCTTTATCAAGCCTTCTATCGTTTCAGTTATACTCCACTCCAGAAGGAAACGACAGTGTGCTCGGTTGCATATACTGTGTTTACTGTCTAGATACCCCTAAGCTGAAAAGAATAATTATCAAATGATGTTTTTTCTTCTACGATTTTCCTCAATTTTTTGTAATTTCTTAAAGGAAAGTATATTCATTGCTTATTTTAGTTTATTAAAATTAGTCACAAGTCTTTCACTCAAAATCTATTTTAGTGAGGTGTCGCATCTAATAAAAGTCCCCTTTTACATCACAGAATACCACAATATAGATACGACTAGTGGATGATGAGTGATGCTTTCGGCAGTAATATTCAACCAAAATTAGTAATTCCAATATAGCGAAAATATTCATTCAGACATCTATAAAACCAAAATAATCGAGCAAAGAATATCCTTTTCGATAATATTATCTTGTGGCTCTACAATTATATATATCTGCTTATATACATAGAATATTCTGGAATAGTAGTCAATAACAATATCAGCGTTTTTTAAATAATATCGATTTATTAAGTAAGATCAATGGAATTACAGTTCATTAAAGATGCATAAATTATGATAATAATAATAAAAATATAATAGAAAATAGAGTATCAAGTAAAATTAAGGAAATTTCAACAACGAATTGAGGATCATTCGAACCTAGATGGCGAAGGTAAGGACAATGTCTGAACTAGCTTCTTTTGGACAGATAAATTAGGCTTCCTAATGTGGATCCCAACGGCATCAGCAATATTGCGTAGTAGACGAACTCTTAAGGCGAAACTGAGATTTGTTGGTGTGCGGTAGATGACTTTGTGTATCTGCATGCATAAGATGAGATAGGATAGCGCTATCTGAATGGATTTTGTTTGTCCTTTACTTAGCCACAAGAGGATGATGTTCGGAAATTCGACGAGATTTGTTGTTTGACATAGTGTTCGAATTTTGTGAACTTATTTTTTCATTTGTGAAGAGAGTGATTTTTTCATTAGCATCCAATATCAATCTGTTAAATCTGTTTTTTTTTTTAAAACTTATTGTAGGAATGGTTTGAATCGTTTGCTGAATATGTCGTTGATGATCAACACTGGCATAAGGTCTACACAGTAAGTTATTTGTTACTTTTGTTATTAGTATTTTCCTGAAGCTTAATTGTCTGATTTGCATTCATCCTTTTTATTTGTCTCATGTCTATCATGCGTTAAACTTTAATTTGTTTTACAAGAAATGATTGATTTATATATTTAAGTATTGGTTTTGTAGAGATTTTTTTGTTTGTTTGGATGGAGGATTGCATCATGAGCTGACATTGGTTAGAGAGAACCATTGGAAAACCAGCTGGGAGTACCGAACCGCCAACAGTCTGCACCAAAGAAGGACTAGATACGTCACACTAGTTACTAGTGTCCAATCAAAAAATGGCTTGAAGCTATATTTTCTACTTCAAAAAGCATAAGGAATGAAAAAATCATTGTTAAAAATCAAAATTGATGACAGCTATATATATATATATATATATATATACTTTTATCCAAACTGCTCAATACTAACTAACTAATTAGTCTATTCATCTTAATAAGTGCAATTTCTTTTTATTTAATTTTTTTATTAAAGATAGCTGACTATTTTGATTTTGTCAATAACTGGAACAGAAAAACGTCTTATTTTATTTCTAAATGATGATAATTTATTCACAAATACATTATGTACTGCTCTGCTAATTATTTCTGACAGAAATTTACGTTTCTTCTTTAAGCAATACAAAAGATTTTCAACTGAATATAAACGCTTGAATGTGACTGAAATTTAACTCTGTGTAGATTTGATGAAATATATTTATAAACTTACTTACTTACTTAATTAATTAAATCTGGTGGATGGTGACTAGCACTGAAATCTAGGACGTGCATTTCGTCCAACTTGGGACTCGTCAGCTCGATGTGCCTGCAGCCCCACAGTGAGGTGTGGTGTTCCCATTGAGATTCGAATTCAGTATTCATCATTTCAAATTCCAAAGCGTTATCCACTAAACCACCTGGGCTACGAGAAGCACATTTTGTGCAACAAGTGCCAGTTATTATTTATTTTTAATTGAAATTTGATTGTCTCGTTGATTGATTGGACCTGAATGTTCGGCGTCTGACACCCTTTGCACAAGAGGCGACTCTCGTGGTTCAAGTGATCTAGATGATAACGCTTCGGCGTTCGAAACGATGGTTACTGGGTTCGCGTCCCAGTGGACATTACAGACACATCCGGACGGGGAGTTCGAAATAGGATGAAATACTCATCCTGTGATGAGAGCTGGCTGAGAGCCAAAAACTGTAGACAGCAGTTCATGTCAATTTTACGTCCCGAATCGGGGTTATGAGAAAAACTATAAAAATGCTTGACCCTGAGGAACTCACCAACCGATCACAGCAGACTTAATGTGTGCATATAGGATTCGCAGATATTTGGCTCAACTTTCTGAGAAATGGTCACAAGCAGCACAAAATGACCTTCAGCAAGAAGACAACCAATCAGAAGACATTGCTTCTCTGCTGACAATAATTTACATAAAAATGTTTAAATATCTCTTGATTTTCTCAGTAAACGATCTGTTTCCTGGTCCCTGTCTTTTGTCGTTACAATCCTGGATTCCACTGCTAGTTACCATCCACCAAATTACTGCAAGTTGATCCTCAGACATCTAAGAATCTTCACAAGCAGGCGAAATGCCAGCAGAAGCCAAAAAATTCTGTCTAATCAATCGATGGGGAAATCAAAACGGCATTGAAATTAAATTATCAAGTATTGGTTTTTTTTAGGGATTTCATCCTCCAACCAATAGAATAAAATTACTTATTAATTGTTTGCTAAGTAAATTTGTCTATCTCTCTTTTTCTTAGTGTCATTCAGAATGTGCTCCCGGTGGTTGTACAGGTCCTGCAGCTGATCAGTGCCTTTATGGATGTAAAACGTTTGCAACAGAAAGCAGGTAAGCTCTTTTATGAATAACAAGCAAATAATAATTATTGTTTGTCCAAGTGTTGGTTTGCAGGGATTTCATTTTTTTGTTTCAAGTTACATCACAAACTGACCTCGGTTTGAAGAACTACTGAATAGCTTTTTAGTGCTAGTGTGGGACTCTCCAGGAGTATGCATTGATGACCCCACCCGAGATCTTTAGTGTGCCAGATGAGCCCGATGGTCACTCCACGATTGAGACATAACCCATTGTCCTATGAGTTAAAATTTCTACCAGTTCACAAGATATAGCGTGGCTGCCTTCAAATGTCATCGGCGAGTATTTGTCCTCACACCTGAGCTATTGGATCCCACTGGTCATTACTTCTCACAAGAATTCTAGGCAACTTCATTGTGCAGTCAGTCATTTCCAGACTAAGACGAAACAGCTACCCACTACTCTCTGGCTTTCACTGATCCCCTGACAGATGTCACTTCGTGATTTGACTTGCAATAAATATTTATCGTAAAAAAATTAATGTATAAGTAATAATTTTATGTAAATATCATTTTGGTTACTGCTTTCGAAATTTATGCCACAACCCAAAACATAACACTGATCTATGAAGTCTTTGATTGTTCACTCCAGCTATGCTGGTAGGTGTGAACTACCTGGTCGCATTCCTCAAGATGCTGTGACTGTTAATGATATAAGTATAAAACTTGGGCACTATGGTGGTAGAGTATAACTCCATTATGGATAAGATTTTATTTTAATAAATCACACAGTGTTATACAGTAATACTAACTGATGACGTTTCGAGCACATATGCTCATAACCATATCAAGTCACTCACACAACTTTCTTGTTTCACTTATATATATGAGTGAAATTGATGATTAGATATCTGAATAAAAATCAATATGGGATAACGTACATTCATAAATAATAATATGAGTGTTACTGATCAATTACAATCAGATGGGAAATAAGACGAGTGTTTTTACAGTCATAATAAGTAACTTGTCAGCATGTCGTGATGTGCTTGAATTGAAATAGAATTTTAAGTTTATTTATTATCCTCTTCTGATTTGACTTGCGGTAATAATATCTTCCATGTTTCTGGCATTTGCATTGAGTCATTTCTGTTGCATGTGTTGGGTGTAGACTCGATGAACCAGGATTCAGTAATCAATCTCTCTCCACCTACATAGATTACTTCTTACAATCTTAACCCTCTCCCACCCTATTGTGTGGTTGTGTGTTAATGCGTGAAGTGCTATTGCTGAGCTTTTTTCTAAATTACTTATCTTCTCGGGGTCAACCATTCTTATCTTAGCTAAATTCTTATGTTCCGACTATCTGATCACCCCCGATCTACTAGTTTGACCTATATAGTTGACCTCACAGTCATTGCAAGGTATTTTGTAAATCATATTATTTTGTTTATTTGGGTCCACCGGGTCTTTTAGCCTACAGAGCTTGTCTCTGAGTGAGTTTGTAGGTTTGAATGCCACTGTGTGATTTATTAAAATAAATTCTTATCCATAATGAAGCTGTAACTGTTAGTTAACAATTCATTCGTTTTCATTCCGAGAGGGCTTCAAGCTTTGAGCTTTAAAGTTCCCGTAGTGCTTGTGTTGTTTATACGGGTTGAAGTCTCTAGCTTCACATCCAAACTTCCCTCTTTTCCAAGCTTTTACTGCCTGTCGCTAGTTGAGGTTTAGGAGTGTGTCGGCTGGGAGTTGAACCTCGACCATATGAGACGTGGTTGGCGAGCATTCTACTCCTGAAAAACCGACGCACAGACATATTCAGGACTTCCTACATTCTAGAGTTTAAAAATCTTTACTCATCTTTGTCAAATTGTCTCTGTTTTTTCTCTTACTAATTTTCGTCCATTGTAGTTTCACATTATATTTCTTTTCTGTACTTTTATGTTTGACCTTCCAATGTTTTGTAGCTTGAACTGTAACTCACTTTTGTGCAAAGTTCTTCGTTGATAATTCAGTTTTAGGCTAGTTCATTTATATGTCTCAACTAGTTATCCGTCTTCAAATATACAACACACTATGTTAAGCTACATGTTTAGTGTATTATTTATTCCAAATACCTTGACTTAATCTAAGAATAGAGTGACGTGTACACATATGGATGTAAAATTGTACATGTTTGCACAGGGAAAAAATACAATTAGGAAAGCAGATGTTATTTGTTTAACCGCTTCAATTTGTATTTTTCTGTTGTTGAAAAGAATGCCTAGCTAATTTTAAGTCCGATATGTTTATGCAGAAATTTATTGTACAGAGTTGTAAAACACGTATTCATTTGGTGGTGGCTAGCTATAAAATCCTATTTGAGACTGATTGATATAATTGGTATGCAACTACTCATCGCAACTAATCAGTAGTATATAGTAGTTTTATGCAAATATGCTCGGTTTCTCGATTACCATTTAAGGCATCAAGCAGATCACATATTGTGATTTGAATAACTTAGTTCCTCAAAGGAAACTACCAACCAAACTGTGTAGATTGCAAATTATAAATTTGAGGCTTGGTGGCTGGATGTGCCTGTAAATCCCAGTGAGTGATGGTATCCCCACTAAGAATTGAACTCAACACCGATTTATTAAATATTCCCATAGTAAAATTTAGAACAACACATTTAAGCGAACAATATTGTTTTCAATTAGATCTCATCAGGCTTAACTCTAATATATATAAGTTTACAAATAAAATTCAAATATAAACCAATCATGGTGTTTTGTCTATAGGATAATACGATGGTGAATATAAATTGTGCAATTAGTCATAATAGTAGTAATGATAATAATAATAATAGTAATAATAAAAATGGTCTTATCAATAATAAGGATGAAAAAGTGAGGCAATCTGTGATAACACGAATAATGAAAAACAGCATGATTAAACAAACAACTGTTCAGGTGGAAGTAGTCGATAAAGGCTAGTAAAAACAAATGAACCGATTAAGTAATGTTAGATTGTAAGGGAAGGAAATGAAACACGTTTATAATGAAGATAAGATTAAGGGATGATAAGAAAGGGGTTGAAAATATAAACAAAGGGTGGTGTAGAAGTCATTAGTTGGTTATGTCTTAATAGGCCAACAAGGGAGGGATAATGGCTGTACGAACTTTTTTGAATACATAGTTTAGGTTTAATAGTTCGAATGCCTATCGCCTCAGCTGTGTGCAGTAAACGAATACGAAGTCTATTGGAAAGATTCGGTGGGATACGATGAATTACTTTGAAAGCTCTCGTTTTCTCGATTACATGACCACTATCAATTAAGTGTGACAAAATTGAGCTACGGATTGTTTTGTCTGTCCTTTGCCAAACCACGATGGGAGATGTTCACTAACACGTTGGCTAAGCTGTCTAGTAGTACGCCCAATATAACTGTCACCGCAGGTGCAGTTGAATTGATAAATGCACATAGATGTGGCAAAACTATCAAGCTTATCCTTCGTTTGCGTCCCAATCATTCGTCGGCTAGAGAATGACAAACATAGGTGTGCTGCATAAAATGTTCTTCGTATACTCCTTGAAAGTCTTTGGAATAGAATCTCACTTGATAAGTCACCATTAAATTGTAACTTAATAAATAGAGGTTTCTTACGTGCAGTCAGAGTCTCCGGTTTTTTCTCCGATATTTTCATATGTTTCTTTATGAAACTACTCGGATAGCCCATCTCCATCAAGGAATCGTGAATATATTCAAATTCCTTTTGTAAGAGGTCATCCGTACATATCTTTCTTGCTCTGCTCGCAAGACATTTTACAACATTCCTTTTATATTTAATGGGCACGTAACTAAGGAAGTGTGTGTATTGCCCTGTGAAAGTGCTTTTTCTATACACGCTTCTCCCAAGTGACCCATCTTCTCTCCTACTTAGCAAGACATTCAGGAAATGTAGTTTATTCTCCTGCTCCTCTTCACAAGTAAAGGTAAGCAAAGGATGGATGTTGTTGAATTTCAGCAACAATTCGTCTATGTTAACATTCCCATCAGCTAAGATAAACTGGATCTCGTCTTTCCAACCCACATCATCAATAGGTACAACATTTTCTTTCTTTCTGTTCCTTTTCTCTTTCTCTCTCTTTTTTCCGTTATGTGCTGCTTTGTCTCTTTCTCTTGCTTACGCCAGTTAATAAGACAGCTCCCACCTTTCTAACACCTTCAAACACTGTTTCAGCTTTACCTTTGCTACTGACATGCCAATGCATTGTTGTAATAATGAACTGTGGTTTCCTCAATCTATGTAGAATTCTATTTATTGATAATGTCCTAACTGGATGCAATACTGTAGTAAAAATGCTGAGAATTCCATTCTGTATCACTAGTACTGTTTTGGAATAAAGCAAATTATTATTATTATTATTATCATCGACACGAATAATGTCGTTCAACACCGATTGTTTCAAACACCACAGCAGGTATCATTATAACACACTGTTTATTGTTATTTGTCTTGACCATGACAGCTTCTTTAGTAATAAGCAACAAAGAGGTACGTCTACCTTAGATGTGATGTTTGTATGTATGATGCACTGAATAGTATGCCTCCAAACAAATTATAGGCTTGAATAGATGAACGACAAACGATACTCAGTCCCTGTTAGTGTTACTCTAGCTATTTATTGAAGGGAAGGATTTCTGTTTAAACCTGATCATGGCCCAAGTGGTCTAGTGGATGATGCTTTGGCGTTTGAAACTCACTGCGGAATGCAGGTACTTTCAGATGACGAGTCCCAAACAGGACGAAATATGTATCTTGGATTCCACTGCTAATCACCAGCTACCAATTAACTTCTAAACGTGATCTATTTAAAAAAATATTCTTATATATTCTTTGGGAAGCAGGGTTATAAGTAAATGGTAAAAGAATTTCAGAGACAATGGTAATCTCGTATTTTTCTCATTTTGTCTTTCTGCGTTTTTCCTCAGACAATGTGTATCCGTTTGTCCTCCGGGGACAACAGCATTTGGTGCCTTACGTCTTAGTAATTCATTGAATAATTATGCCAATACAAACAGTAATAATAATAATAATAACAATGGACAGAAGTCACGTGACCGTGTCAAACCTGAAGCTATGTTGTCATCATCATCATCATCATCAGGTGCACGTATTCGCAGTAGTATTGAAGGTTCTCCTTTCGGTGTGAATGATGATCCTTTACAAATCAATGGTAATAATCAACAAGGCTTTAAGAATGAAATGGTCTGTCAACCATGCTGGTCATTATGTTCAGCGTGTATACGTCCACATATTGAATATGATTGTACAGCATGCTCAAATCAACGCTTTCTAGTACCATTGTTAACAGCAAATGAAGATAAAGGATTATCATTTTCTTATCAATCGTATCAAGACAATAATGGGCAACCTACTAATAACAACGGTGATAATAATAAGAATAACAATGTCTATCTTGAAAATGCTAAACATTTAAATTTCAATTTACCTCAAGTAATTGGCACTTGTCGAACTGAATGTCCTGCTGGATTTTTTGGTAATAAATCGACTTCAATATGTGAATCGTAAGTCTTTCAGTGTGTGTATCACCTACATTATTATTGATTATTTCATCAAATATCTGTGAAGATTTCATCACTAACCAAAATCAGTTAGAGAATTATTGAAGGCGCAAGAGCATTGGATAGTTGCTGTTGTGTCCTAGTTTGGGAATCTTCATCGGTGTGAACCTATGACAACACCAGGAATTGAGCCTTGAATGTTCAGATTAAGTGGCCACAGAGTCCCAGACTAAGGCGAAACAGCTGGCCAGTGCTGTGTGGTTTTCAGTGATTTTCTAATTGTTGTTGGCATGTAACAACAAAGTCTGCATTGGATCTAATCAAAATAGCTGCAAAATTCAAAATTTTAACTTCATCAAACGGTTTTCTATCAACTAGAAGACGCTGAACAGCTCTTTCTTACAGAATAATCTCTAATCTAAAACAGTAACTTGTAAAAGGCCAACCAATCTAATCTGACTATAGTCAACGTTTTCAAGAATGTGTGTTACGCGTGAAGTCATACAAACAACAAAATTCTTACTATATTGAGGATAGTCAGTCAATGAAACTGTGGCTACGTCTTCTTCAATAAACCGAGCATAGAAATATTAACAAATTCAAACACAGACCTCCAAAAATTAAACAATTAAAGAATTTGTTAATTTGAAAGCTAACTATCAACTTTTTCTATTTTTTACGAGTTGATCACGGACTGATATCAGTTAGAGAACCATTGAAAACCAGGGAGTACTGGACAGCTGCTGTTTCATCCTAGTTTTGGGAATCATCGTCAGTACGCACCCACCGGGATTCGAACCCAAGACCTTCCGGTTACAAGGCAAGCTCGTATACCATTCAGCCACTGGGACCCGATTCAATGGCTCATGAATTTTAACTTCTACCCATTGGTGATTTAGCGCGACTCCAACCATTGTCGTTGGTGGGACATCCATCCACACACGTGACATCTAATTGGACCTCACTGGTCACGACTTCTCACTAGAACTCCAGGAAGCTCCATTCTGTAGCAAGTCACTAGCGAGCAAAAACAAAGATTGAGAGGATGGTATCTATATTCGTAAAGTAAATATCAGTCAGCTCGATTTGAAATCGTGGAAAATACCCATCGGGACATTAGAGGAGAGAAAAGAACAAGAAGTTCAGCAAAGATGGCGATCTTTTCGGCGATTTCATTCTCAAAAGCAGCTGTACAATCGCATTTATGTACATTAGTTTACATGGATACAATTATTATTTATTTAATTCCACATAGTAGCGAAGGTGATAATAAATTTTCAACTTGAAGGTACGAATATAGATTACAAGGGGCTTAGAGACAAGATCGCATAGGATTAGAATACAGTTACAACGTATGCAAAATTTATATTTGGTAACTGGAGAAACATTTTTAAAGGCGAATAAAAGGTGATAATTATTTTCAACTTGATATGAATTATAAGAGGCTTGGAGGCAAAAGTTACGCAGGGATAGAACGAATTACAGGTGTGAACAAAATGAGCATGGAAACAAATTGAAATCAAAATTTTCAACTTGAAATGTAAGTGTGGAGATATGAATATAGATTACAAGAGGCATAGAAACAAAAAATTACACAGCATTAGAATATAATTGTAAAATGGTTATTCTAAACGGATTACAAGTGTGATCAGGAGGAGCATGGAAACAAACTTAAAATAACTGATTTTATAACTGAAAAAAATGGGATAAATTAAATGAAGACAACGAGAGAAAATTACACACACAGAGAACAAAACAAAAAATCTGAAGGATAAGATAACATACCGAACTAGGTCCATGGTAGTTGTAAAGGCTGGACTAGTTTCTTTTGAACACATAGCTCCGGCTTTTCGATGCATATGGTGAGAGCTTCCGCTCGATTTTAGTACAACCAATGGGATTGGATGCAAGTTGATGGCAGAGTTGCTGGTTTTCAAGCTATTAGAAGACAAACAGGCAAAGATGAAAAGTAAAGACCAAGCGGATGAAAGGGAAATACTCACCTCTTCTTCATTCAATCGAACTTTTACGATTACTCATGAAGAACGATGCCACAAATTCACCCTCATTGACGATGACACTTACAGTGTGATGTCGAAAGCTGTATAGATAAAAATTCAAAAACAATTATTCATGTAATATTGGGAGAACAGAAAGAAGGGCACATGTCTGATTTTCTGAACATCTACCGAAAAACCTAAGTTTCAGGGTAACAAACGCCTACTATAGTGCCATTACCAGGCATCTCCTTGATACGGGTAACGAGGTGCAAATCGCAAATTCCTTTAAAATTATCAATAGACAAAAAAGCGCTATCCTCCTCAAGTTTACCGAAGCAATCTCTATGATATGCCCGAAACTCGATTCATATGTTCAGAAAGAAGAAGTTATCAATCTTTCTTTGCCTTGGGAACTGGACCTCTTTATTCTCTCTTCCATTTGACTACTTAATCTTTGGCTTTAACCTAAACTCCCTTTGATATAGTGTAATTTAGTTGGTCTCTTGTTTCTATGATTTGAGTTGAACTCACTACATTGTTACCCAATTAATTAGTTACTCATCTGTATTACGTAACTCCTCTTCCATTGTATGCATACATTTAATTTGTTTAAACTTGAACTCCCCGTATAAAAACTATATAAGCGCAATTTTCTAGCACTGTTCACTAAGTTTTGAACTTCCTGTTAACTGAAATCATATAAAATTTGCAAGTAGGCTAAAACTTTTCTGTAAATGAACATAATTATTTGGGCTGTAAGTGACTGATGAGGAGCCAACGAGATAAATGATGGTACCATAATATTCTGCACAAACCACTGTTGTGCTTGAATTATTCAAATTCATAAAGGAGAATAAATGTGTGATATATTCATATCACATTATTTAAATGTAGCGTCGGTGGCACAGTGTTAGAATGCTCGCCGATCATGCATGTGGTCCGGAGTTCGATTGCCGGCCACTAATACACTCCTTCACCTCCTTAAGCCAGTAACAAGACTGGTAAAGAGGAAAGATTGGACGTGAGGCTAGCAACCCGTAAAAAAGCTTCTAGCTTGAAGCCCTGTGTTCCAATGGGAACCTAAAAGAATCATTTAAATGTACTCCTTTCCCTCTTCTACTGTATATCTAAACACTGTTGTATATTTCATTTTTATTGTTTTGTCAAAGACAACTAACTAGTCAATGCTGTGGTATTAGGGTAACTAACGAGTCTTTTATATTGATAATGTCTTCAATTGAGTTCGTAGGAGTCATTATTTGTAAGCTTTTTGACATAGTTCAAAAGCTGTAACAGTGTCTACTTTTTTTTTTCTTCACGTTCCCCAGTGGAACATAGGGCTTCAAGCTAGTGGCTTGAAGTTTCTGTAGCAGTGTTTATTTTACAGGATGGGGTTGCTAGCCTCATGCCCAACCTTTCCTCTTTACCAGCATTATTTCTGGCTTAGCGAGGTAAAGGAGTGCGTCGGTGGCCGGGGATCGAACCCCTGACCATGTGCATGGTCGGCGAGCGTCCTAACCGCTATGCCACCGACGCGCAGTGTCTACTATCTATTGAAATTCTTATCATAGGAATTGCCTTCATCACTTATTTTGTTACTCTATCCTCATAATCCTTTTGTTTACTTTGGTACTGTACTAGTTTTTCTTAATTTTATCCGTATTATGTTATGTCATGTGACATATATGTAGATTATAGGATTTGTGGGGATATGGATTAATTTCAATTTCACTTGTTAGATTTCGTCGTGAGCCAACATTAGTTAGCGAGATAATGTCAAGGTGAAGGGAATGCTCATCGAAGGCATCAGTATGGGTAGTGCTGTATCATCAACTGAGAAAGTTAGAATTCACGGCTTATTGAATTCCTGCCAAAGTGGTTGAGTGATTATCTATGATCTTGATCTTGTTACCTGTAGGTCCCAGGTTCAATCCCTGATGGGACGGGACTATTAGTGCGCACTGCCGAAGAGTTCCCAACTAGGGCGAAACAGCTGTCTAGTACTCCGTGGTTGTCGCATTGTAGTGTAGTATCTTGATGGTATGCGAAACACAGAACACTTGTGAATATTATTAGAGAAGTAAATTAACACTGGAGAAAGGAATTCATTATGGTGATATTTTCAAAAGAAAATGTCGACAAGATAAAATTATTTCTAGAGATTCTAATCACTACATGCTTTTATAAGTTTTACGAGTATCCAATATAGCTCACAAACTTGTACACTAGCATATTTGTTGGTAGTTAACATCTAATAAACATGTAATCGTAAATTTTCAAAGGATTTTAAAATTATTGGCCTAATGTGGATGCTGCGCATAGATTGCTACTTTATGCGTTGTGGAAGACATCCAAGTACTCATGTATGAAGATTTAGTTATGGTCTATGTATTTTTTTGTTCTTCTAATAATTTATTCACCCTTGCTCACTCTAACATTATGACATTTAGCGACTTTACCCAGTTAGTCGAACATTATTTAAATCAATGCTAGATTATTATTATTTCATTCCTTTGCGTACCAAGTGTAGCATAGAGCCTTAGGCGTTGAAGTCTTGGTAGCTGTGGTGTTTTTTTAACGCGATGGGGTTGTTAGTCTCACGTTCAATCCTTTCCTGTTTTCCAGACTTATTATTAGCTAGTTAAAATAAAAAGGTTGGAAGTCGAACTCCGGACCACATACGTGATTGGCAAACATTCTGCCGTTGAACCTCTGACACGAATGTTAGATAGTTAGAGATAATTTATAGGAATCTCTGGATCTTTGGTTTTGTGTTTACTGACACTCATCACCAAGGTTTAACTGCGACCTCAAAGAAATTGATGTCCCCTCTGTACTGTAGTCAAGGACGTTCAAATTTCACATGGGAGATCATTTTCTTCCAGGTTGTAGATACTCCTTACTGTGGTGAGCACCAGCATGCAAAACTTCCTACCAATTGCGACGATAGAGAGTCACCTAGCTTGGTTCAATACATTACAAACTTGACTGATAGAATCCAAA